CAGAGGTGCCAGGATCCTGAAAACCAGACTCCAGGAGGATTCAAGTACCTGATGATGATACTATGAAATGGCAGTTGATTTTATAACAATTTCAGATCAGATTATTTATATCACATATAAACAATGCTGCATAAAGTCTATAAATGTGGAAAGACTAGAGAAGAAAATTAAGTAAAAAATAAATAAATAGAAGACAGAAAAGGAAGAAATATCATTATCATGCAAATGATTATAATACACGGAGAAAAGAGGAAGTACATCTGGATTTGTGTTATTCCCAATTTGGGAATTAAGAAGACAGAAAACTTATCTTCTTATTTCCTTTAAAGGAAATGAAATACTCAGACAAAACATAAATTACTATATCATTTAAAAAACTTTTTTAATGTTAAAAACTTTTCTCTGGAGCCTTGATTAATTAGAAAATATCTTTCTCTTTCATTAAGTGTAATAAAATTTCCTCTGATTTTTGTCTTATATTAATATATGAGAACATTTAATTATTTCCATGACTTTCTTGGCATAGTTATTATTCTCTCTTTTTATAGCATGTTTCTGAATAACAAGTTTCCCTTATTCTTCATATAATTTCTTTATGGAATGAGGAAAAGAAGAAAAGGGACAGTAAGAACTGAATTCCACATTCTTTATCCTATTTCACCAATTTTTTTGGTACTGCCCACAATTTAAAAATGAGACTTTATGTCTTCAACATGAATGGCAACATAAACATAAAATAATTTAGCAGAGTACTTAAGCAAATTTATCACTGCATAGACTACAGCAATTAGAATCAATTTTGTCAGAGGACACAACTCACATATAAAAGTTATTTTATGCAGTTTGGAAATTGCCACCATTTGAGGACTTGGAAATACATCTATATGCTTCTGGTTGCATTCTTGTACCTCAGACAAAAAATACACTATGTCTGAACACCCTTTTCCAAATAAGATGATTATATTTTCCAATTGGCACATCTAAGTTACCCTAAGAAATCAGAGTCCAAAATCTGAAGGTGGGAAGATGAGAGATAACAGTGTCTCCAAAATAGTGCTGTGTTGTCTATAAGGTATGAGTTTTTCTCCTATCAAGTATGAATGGAAATATAATTTGAAGATATAGCAGAATACCGCTTTCACATCCACCCAAAAATACTCATCATAAAACAAAACAACTAAAAGGTGTATCTCAATATTTCTATGTAATAGTGTCATTACAGCTCAAGTGGCCAAAATAACATGAATTATTTGAATAAACAGAAATTATGGGTGCGAGGGGCAATCTAAAATTTTGCTAACAATCTTCAGGGAGAAAGTAGCATACACTTACTTGTGCTTTATTGTGATTTTTAATAATAATTTTCCTATGGTAACACTTTTTCTTTTCACTCAAAAAAGTTTAATGTACTTGAGGAATACTAAAAAGAGAGGGGAAAAATAAATAAGAAACTGGAAAACTTCCAGTTTGAACATTGTGGTATATTGTGAATATTTCCCCTTTTTATTCTTGGAAATCATTCCAACACATAGACAATGAGGAAATATTATGCAAATGTCCTATTTAGAACCCAAACAGGTTTAGTGAAACCCTAGAACCCAAATTCAGTGAAATGTTTCCTAAAACAGTGATAATAGAGCATAAGGGTATACAGGAGGAAACAGAAAAACAGTTTGAAGAAACAGTTCAGAAGCTGCAGAGTTTAAGAGCCAGCAAACATACTTCATATAAGGCTAGGGGCACATTGTATAGGAGGCAACAATTTGAGGTATAAGCATCTATGGAAGTAGTTTGGTTCTAAAAAGCAGACAAAGTGAGGCTAAATAAACAACTATACAGAAAAAACATATTACAGAAAGCAGTCTTCTACATCTGTGGAAGCAGAGAATTAAAGTCTTTTATTATAAAATAACAACAACAACAACAGAACAAACAATAAAACCCACTCTGTCTATCTCCATTGGCTGGACCAAAAAAACTCACTTGTCTCAGTGACACATAAGGAAACCTGAACAAGCATACAATCTATATAAAGATACTAAAAGAGAAAAAGAGATGAAGGGAAGAAGAGAGGGAGGGAAGGAAGGAATGAAGGGAAGGAGGAAGAAAGCAAGGAAGGAAAGGAAGGAGAGAAGAAAAGAGGAAATGAAAAAAAACAATGGAGATGAGGAGCAAAAATTAAAAACATTACCATAGACAAAGTTGAAAATTGTAACCAAACATTTCGCCATGAGTTTTTAAAATGTAATGACTAGAAATCACCTTTTGAAGCAATTACATAGCACAGACATGTAAGAAATTAGTGAGAGGTGAGTGAGGGAAGAAAAAGAGATTAATTTTAAATTTCAAGTGTTCAACCAAATGGTACAATGAGAAAAAGTAAAATTACTATGAAAATGAAAGAGATTGGAAGTAATACAGAGGAAGAAAGACTCCTGAAAGCATAAAATGGTAGCAAAAGTTGACGTGAAAATGCAAACTAAGTTAATTAGATATTAATAGAGTTAAAAGGGATTAGAGAGAAAATGTAGAGTGCATTGCAGACTAAAGACATCCAAAATACTTAAAAAAGGAATCCCTGAAAAACAAACCATAAACTTAGATATAAGTTAAGAAATTGTTCATAAAATAAAAGGAGACTTGAATCTACATTTTGGGAAAAAGATCAAAACAAAAACAAAAAAGCATGTCCCTGGGAAAAATAATCCAGAACAGTCAGTGCTAAGATAACATTCTAGTGAAGTCACTGAACTTCAACTATAAATGAAAAATCCTTTAGTCAGCTAGGAAAATAAAAATTCTGTAAATTCTGCAGTGCTAGAGACAAGAGCAAGAGCAATACTGTCTTCAGACAAACTCTTCCTCCAGTGTAAGACATGAGACAAACACTTTTAAACATGCAGAAATTCAGAAACATTGTTTCCAAGGGACTTTCCCAGGAATAATTAGAAGTGACCTTCAAACAACCAAGGAATTATTAAAATCACAATAAAAAAGCAAACTGTCAACAATGTAAGCCTTATTAGTAGGTCCTCACCCAGTGGAGCCTTCAGAGGATCTTAGCTCTGGATGGCTTGACTGCATTCTCATGACAAATCCTGCTTCAGAGCCTCCTAGCTAAATCTCTCCTAGATTCCTGAACCATAAAAACTGATATAACCATTATTTATTAAGTTTCTAAAATTTAAAGAAACTTGTTATTAAACAATAGACAACTAAGACAAGGCTTTTAAAAACTATTGAATTTGGGTCTGGCGTGGTGGCTCATACCTGTAATCCCAGCACTTTGGGAGGCCAAGGCGGGTGGATCACTTGAGGTCAGGAGTTCGAGACCAGCCTAGGCAACACAGTAAAACCCCATCTCTTAAAAATTAGCTGGCTGGAGGGAGTGGTGGTGCATATCTGTAATACCAGCTACTTGGGAGGCTGAGGCACGAGAATTGCTTTAGCCTGGGAGGCGGAGGTTGCCCTGAGCTAAGTTCATGCCACTGCACTCCAGCCTGGGTGACAGAGAGAGAATGT